GGCTGGCTGAACGGCCGACACATTTGCGGCAGGCAGACTGACAAGGTTGGCTTTCCCAGGGTTACATATTCGCCCCGAGGCAGCAATGCGCTTGCGTCAACCTGCCGAGCCAAGCGCTGCGAGCATTCCCGCAATGTAGAAAATCATTGCACGCCAGCCATCATCAGGGGGAGGGTCGCTTGCAACAGATTGATGCCGCTCTGTTTCTCCAAGATCGCAGCTTGTTGATTCACAGCCTCGATGAAGTCTGGCGCCGTGCACATGACTAAGATGAAAGGATGCTACATAGGTTTTTTTTGGGGGGGTGTTTGAACCCTGAGTTCGCAACTCTATGTTCCGAACTCAGGGGGCCGAGAACTCAGAGTTCGAAGATATATGTTCCCTCAAACTCGGAGTTCGAACTCCGAGTTGGAACTCGGAGTTGAACTAGTTGAACTTGTCTCGGACCTTCCAAAACTCAGAGTTGAACTCGAGTTCAAACTCCAGATCAGAATGTTCAAACTCTAAGTTCGAAGCCTGAACATTGCTGTTCGAACTCTGAGTTCGAACACCGGTGTTCAAACTTTGAGTTCGAACACCAGTGTTCGAACCCAGTTCAAATACCGGTGTTCGAACCTGAGTTCGAACACCAGTGTTCGAGCCCAGGTTCAAACACCGTGGTTTTTGGTATGGTTTTGAAAGATTTCTTTTCTTTTCTTCTCTTCGCTTTTCACCACCCAAAAGCGTTGTATTAATACTATTCCTAGTGTTCGTTATATTAGCAGCAGTATTAGTAGTATTAGGTATTAGGAAGTGTAGTATTAGTAGTATTTGTCGTAAGAAGAAGTAGTAGTAAAAGTAGAAAGTAGTATTCGCAGGATTCGAACACCGGTGTTTGAACCCAGGGTTCAAACACTAGTGTTCAAACACCGGTGTTTGAACCCAGTGTTCGAACTCTGAGTTCGAACACCGGTGTTCGAACCCTGAGTTCGAACACCAGTGTTCGAACCCAGAGTTCAAATAGGGGTTTTCGAATCTGAGTTCAAACACCAGTGTTCGAACCCAGGGTTCAAACACCGTGGTTTGGTATGGTTCTGAGAGATTTCGTTTCTTTTCTTCGCTTTTAACACCCCAAAAGCGTTTTCGTGTGGCTTTCTCCTTCTTCTTTTCAGTGGTATTAGTAGTATTCGTAGTATTAATAGTGTATTAGTAGTATTAGTAGTATTAGTAGTATTAGTAGTATTAGTAGTATTACTAGTATTAATAGTATTAATAGTATTAATAGTATTGATAGTATTGGTAGTATTAATAGTATTAACGGTATGAATAGTATTAGATAGTAGTAACTGTAATATTGGGAAGTGTAGCATTAGTAGTATTAGTCGTAAGTAATAGCAGTAATAGTATTAGTAGTACCAGCAGGGTTCGAACACTGGTGTTTGAACCCTGGGTTCAAACACCGTTTTTTGAACTCTGAGTTCAACTTCCGTTCCAAATGTTTGAACTCAGGGTTCCTCTTTTAGTAGTACTAGTAGTATTTGTAGTATTAGTTGTATTAATAGTATTAATAGTATTAGATAGTCGTAAGTGTAATATTAGGAAGTGTAGCATTAGTAGTATTAGTCGTAAGTAATAGCAGTAATAGTGTTAGTAGTACTAGCAGGGTTCGAACACCGGTGTTTGAACCCTGGGTTCGAAGACTGGTGTTTGAACCCTGGGTTCAAACACCGGTGTTTGATCTCTGAGTTCGACTTCCGTTCCAAATGTTTGCACTCAGGGTTCAACTCGAATTCCAATGTTATGTTCCGAGCCCCCCCCCGGACCCCCCCCCAGGTGTTCGAACCCAGGGTTCGAACACCCTGCAAAAGCCTATGCTCGAAAGGATGCGGCTGTTGAGGGGACTGAATCCAGCCCGTACACCCAGACGGAGGTGGACATAGCCAGCCAGCTCAGCTCCTCCAGCTTCCAGACACACCTTGGACTTTGGTGCACTCGATTCCCTAAGGCACGAGGGACGTCCGTTGATTGACGGAACCTGACCGGCGTCCGGAGCATTGGCCTTTGTTTCCGCTCGTTGCCTTGGGTGGCCGCCGCCGGGTGCCGACACTGTCACAAGTCCGCACGCTTGCGCTGCGCTGGATTTCGCATGTCGCCGACCTTTGGATGCTGGGCTTCGCATGACATGCCATCGTTCACGGTCCGACCCGGCTCCAGCAGCTACCGGCAATTGCCCAGACATGATGATTTGCGCCAAACTTGCGCAGCACCCTATGTGGACTTTGGGCTCGACTCGCAAAAAGCAAGGCAGGAGGGACGTCCGTTGTCCGACGGGACTAGAACGGCATCCGGAGCCTTGGCCTTGGGCTCCACTCGTTGCTTTGGGTGATCTTGGGTGCCGACCTACTGTCACTTGTTGAGTCGCTGACCGTGTCCTCTTTTTGACTCGCTGAACAGCTTTCTGCTGACTAAGCCGCACGCTGCAGCTGATACCCAGCCATGTTCATCTGCCCCGTTTCACCGCTGTTGTGTTTGTGTTTGTTTAATTGTAGCTTTCTGGGACTGAGTGCTACTGTCGTAGCCGACGAGGCCCGCAGACGCCAAAAAAGCCGCCAGCTTCCAGACACAGGTTCAGGACGATGCGAGCACTTTCCGGTCAACGGCAATGCAGTGGAGGAGCATACTTCACGCCGTTGATCTGTGCGCTGCTGTCGAGGGCTCTCCGTCTGCTCACCTGATTGGGTCAACGCGACATGAAGTGCCAAAAAAAGCGGGCTAGTGGCGACCAACAATTTGACCGGGATGCCCGGTGAACGGCAAAAACACGGAATGGAACGCCACCGCCGGTTCGGGGATTCCGTGGAGCCTTTAATTGCCCAGAACCTGAAGTCTGCTGAAGCGCACGGTGGATGACCAGCTCTACATTGACGACGTCGTCGGCGCTGCCACGGGCCTGATCGCGGACGGCGTCTCCGCGCGGGCACACACATTTGTCGTGCCTCCACGACGAAGATGCTATCCGAGTGTGTCGTCGAGCTCGTAGCTGCTAGTCCTAGCTAGGCAACGGCTCGCTTCCTCGAACGGGCTTAGGGCGTTGCGTGGAGGCTGTGAGCTGCGTGAGCAGCCGCGCCAGGGCTGGCTGGCAGCATTTGTTTCCGCCGAATTTTGAACCGGACCAAGACGTGAACAAATGGTGTGTAAGCAAAGCGGTAGGTGATGGTGTGACCCAGCAAGCATAGAAGACAAGAGTGGATTCACAAGATTTCCACTGAAATCAGCCATTGCTAGGACACGCGAAGGCGGAGAGTTTTACAAGCAGGCAACAAGCTAGGACACACGAAGGCGGAGATTTTTACACGCAGGCAAACAAGACAAACGACATCGTGAAGTCTGTGTTACTGTTACTGTTATAAAGGGCTATGGCACATTGCTACTTGAAACTGTTCATGCTAAGAAACATGCTCATGACCTCGCCTTGGGCCTACAAGCCAAGGAAAACAATGAGTACGACGCTTCAACAGTAGGGCTTAGGGTTGCGGTCGTCGCAATCTTGGTCCGGTGCTGGCCAAAGAGCCCAGCCCTGAATAATATATGCCCTGTGAAGGGTACAGGGTGGTCAGATAAAAACAACATATGTCAACCTACATGTTGAATATCTGCCAACCTACATGTCCCATCTTCGGGTTGAGAACCTAGTCTTTGGGGGTCGTCATGCATGTCCGTTTCCTGGTACTCCTAATGTATGACACAGGGGGGGCCTTTCCGTTTTCATGAGAGGCGTGGGTATGCGCAGTAGATTGCGATAGCGCAAGTGCGTAGGCTTCGCTTGCAAGCAGATTGCACCGTCCTCGTCTACTACGAGCGCACCGGCTTTTGCCACATGTTCCGGCCCCATGCCGGCAACAGGCATGCCAAAGCACTTTGGCGCGCCCTCTCAAACCCAAAGGGATGTTCGGCCAGTTGGGCCGGCAACGCGGTACGGTGACAATTTTCAAGAACTAGCTGCCAGCCAAAATGAAGCTTTGGGTGGCTGACGCACCAGGCGTAGTGGAGTGGCAGTTCTTGCAGGTCACGTCGTTTTTGTGTCAGGAGATGTTCGTGAGCCCAGTTTCGCGAGCAGGTTCGACCTTGCTTGATTCTTGATTCGTGTGCGATCGATCCAGGCATCGCAAGGCAACTATTCAAAGTTACACCAAGGTGTTGCAAACTCACGGACAAGACCAGCCGCAATTCAGTGGCGTTTTACCGGTGAAGTTTTCTCCATTTGCCAACGTCCGAGTCCGTCGTGGTGGTTCAAAAGCCATTGGCGTGTAGACTCCATCGGCATCAGAGGCAGAGGTGCAAACTGTCCACCTGTTGTACATTGCCTCGAGACGTAGAAGTTCCAAGCTTTTCAGATTCCCACGTAGTACTCGCTGCCCTGGCTTAGCCTCATGCTGCGAGGGACTCAGGCCATGTCGCGCTTCTGCATCCCGCTGGTTGTCGCCTCAGAAACATAGCGGAAGCCAAAGCCGTGCAAAGTTTGATGCGTGGCAGTGATGAATGCTTGTTAAGGACACGGCATTTGCAGGAACTGTGGATGCAGGAGGGGGTGGAGCGGGGGTTTGACACCCAGAGAACCTTTCAAGAAATATTTTTTCGCGGAGCTTTTGGCTGCTATGCTGTGCTGCAGGCTACTCCGCCCAGCGCTGCTACACCTCCGAACGAGATGGCGGAGGCAGGCATACAGTCTGATGCCCAATGTTTTTTTTGTGTTGCACGGTTCGAGTTGCTTCTGAGGCTGCGTCGCAATGGGCTCGGCATGTGCGGTCGGCTAGTGTTGAGAAGGGCTTGGAAGACCATGAATGACGATCTGCATGGCGTTAGGGCCGTGCGATTTCTCTCTGCATGATGCTGCTGCTTCTACGTTGCCGCCAGGCAGCTTACACAGCATCCAGAGCAGCGCAGGCAGCGCAGTACGCTTCACAACAGGCCCGGGTTCGCCAAGCGTTCGGAGAGATCTTCGCTGCAATTCGTAGGCTCAAATGGCCACGAACTCTGCCCAGAATGTGTTGGCCACAGACACTGCTTCTGTTCCAAAGACAAGCTTTGACAGCTTCCCGAGGCAGTTGCCCAAGTGAGCTACTTGATGAACAACCCGGACTTGAGATCCGCGCCGGCCCAAGAGGCGAAGGGTCGCTGTGGTCCTGTGCCGTGTGGCGTCTTTGATGGCCAAGGCAGGTTTGGAGGGTGTTCTCTCGGATGGCTTCAGCAGCTCTCCGGTGCTGCTCTCCCTGTGCATTTACAAGGCAGGGACACAGCTTGTGCAGACTGCGCTAGCCTGAGTGGCCAGCGGGAAATGTTCCACAGGAGCCGCGCTCCGCCAGTCGAAGGCGGGAGCGTGTCAAGAAGTTTCTACATGGTGGCCTAGTTGCAATTCGACTCGGGACCTGGACAGGAGCAAGCGCTACTGCTTCATTTGACGTCGCCGAGCTTGGCTATCGCCTGGACCCTCTTGCGAGTAGTGGTCGCAGCAGGCGCAGACTTGATAACGCTCACCTGAATCGTGTCGCCTAGAGTGCCAAAGCAGCAGACTCTGGTGTTCGGTCGGTCATGACCCATGCAACTAACCAGTTCGCAGTATCCGGAGCTGCTCCGTTGTCTTCTGGAAGAAATGATCGCCTTGCCGAAACAAAAGGGGGCACAGAAGAGCCAACACCCATGGCCCCTTGAGATGTATTTCATATATCTGCAAAAGATCTCTGCTCAAACATTTGAGAGCCAGGTTGGATCCTACAAAATTTGCCTCTAGGCTCCGGTGAGCAACGTGCAAAAGTCGCAAACCGCAAGCTTAGCGCAGAGCAAGCTAAGAGATCTTGCAATCCTCGAGCGACTCGAGCGCCATTGGGCTCGACTTTGGGCCCGTGGGTCACTTTCCTGCAGATTTGGACATCTTTTTTCACACGTGCCGGCTTGGTGAGCTGAGGACTCATGGGCCAAACCCAGAACGTTGAAGAAGGTGACGGTTCCCTCGCTCCCTCCCTTCCCTCCTTTCGTGTATCTTGTTCGCATGATGGTTCCGTGCAGGTGCTCCACCCATCACTCCGCCTGAAGTGGAGGTGAACCGTCGGCGAAAGGCTGGGAGTGGAGCCTTTCAACTTTTTGCCTCGCGGCGAAATGCGGAGAACCTCAAGTGATGCTAGCGCACTAGGACTATCTGCACCGCTTGGGGATCCAAAAGGATCACGAGTGTGCTCCTCGGAGAGAAGGCCTTCGAAAGCAAAGCCCAAGGGCTCGGGAACTGCCAGGAAGTTTGCTGGCTACCAGCCTCCTGTTCCACCGACTGCCACCGCTGAGGCCAGGCCTCCCTTGCCGTTCTTGTTGACTCTTACCTTAGCGTAACTTGGGAGGCACCGGACAGGCTTCAGCACTCAGAGGAACCGGGGGAGAAGGAGGCCCCCCGTGGTTGCCACGCGACGCTGTCGGGGCTCAAGATGCTTTCTGGCTGCGGGCAAAGGGCGAGGATTTTGAAATGAATGCACTGGACTTGAAGAGTCGGGCGCCCAGTTGCTGCGCCGAGCATGAATTGCGTCCAAGAACGTTTCTGAGGCCAAGACGACTTCAGGGTGAACTTTCTCCGCAAGCTTTCCTACTCGCAGGTGTGGGTGCCACAGGCCCCGCGCCATCCCGCCCCCCCCGCGCCCCGCCCGTCACTTGCTTTTGCTTCGCTTTGCTGAGGCGCAGAAGTCACCGCAACATCAGACGGTGATCATCTTCGACTGGGATGACACGCTTCTTTGCACATCATTTCTCAATCTCCGCCAGGACCCAGACATAGACTTTGCTGCGCATCAGCACATCAGAAGAATAGGAGGGAGGCCAAGGGCCCAGGGCTCAGGCGGCGTCGGCTACAGCCACGAACTCCTGAAAACCAAGCTGCAGATCTTTGCTGCAAGCACCCCGCATATCCGGGCGAGGAAGAGAATAGAAGAGAGAGCGGGGCAAACGGCCATGTTGCGAGAAGAAGGTAATTAGCGCAAAAGCATCGACTCGCAGGAGCATGGGCTCTCCCATGCCGTGGAACGATGCTTGAAGGCCAGGGTGCCAAGTAATCCGTGTAAGCTTGCACCTTCTCCGCTTCGACCCAGCACGTAGCGGAGGAAATCGAGTCGGCTTCGAAGAAGCTTCTGCAACTTGCCCAGCGCATGGTGCGAGCCCCAGCCTGGAGCTCTGCCACGCGACGGGTGCAGCGCGGCTCGCCGTGGCGAGGGCCACACCTTCATCATCACGAACGCCATGAGCGGTTGGGTCGAGTACAGTGCAGCGAAGTGGGCCTGTGCCCTAGGCCCTAGGCCACCTAAGGCCACCTTCTTTCAGCGAAAGAAGGGCCGAACTGCTGTGACTGTGATGCAGGCTCCCGGCATGTTGGACGTGCTTCAGAGAATTCGGGTCATCTCTGCGCGCCCGCTTCACAGTGAGGATTAGTTCTCTTAAGTCTTGAGCTGTGGGGCACATCCTTTTGCACGTTCCTGCACCAGAGGCACCAAGTTCGAGCCAGAATTTCCCGGTGAGGCGTGCACGGATAGCAGTCCAGGAAATAAATTGTTCTTCCTGCGCTGCGTATGTCAGGTCGGAAAGTGGAAAGAAAATGCTTTCCTTGAGGCATGCTGCTTGTCTGTGCTTCTGTACCACTGATTGTCGCGAATTTCCCGAGGTGCAAAAGCAGCTAGATAACGAGATCATCACCAATCTGATTTCCGTAGGCGCTTCCGCAGATCTGGAAAGGATGTACCTGGCTTCTCAGAAACTGCATAGGCGACTCGAACTTCGAGATGGATGCCCTGCACGTCATGGGCAAGCAGTTTGCGCAGGTACGGGATGCAACTAGGCACACATCGATTTGCAAGATCCTTCCTTGCTCAGGCTCTCGTAAAGACCATCAAGTTCAGGGAGAACCCATCGCCAGAAGAACTTCTGAAGCAGTGACTCCGCCGGAGTTTTGAGTTCCGGTCCCTCGGATGTCAGCTGAAATTTAACAGGTTAGAACTTGTGACGCAAAAGTTCGAGAAGATCGTGGAGAATGCCCGCAACCTGAAGGCCTTCAACCATGCTGTCATGCTGTGCTGTTTAGCAAGTGCAGTGCATCAACGCGGCAGATTGGATTGGAGAGAAAGTGGGTTGGGAACCCGCATGCCGTCAGAGACCCTAGACCGTGTCAGCACAGTGTCGCAGATTGAGCTATAGCGAGTCCTTCTGTTTCCCAGCCTTTGGCCTGTCAAAGCTTTCACATTTGCCCTGAGGCCTGAGGCGAGGCGTTCAAACAGTGACTCTCTGCGGAGAGCATCTCGTAAACGTCGTAGGGTCAGCAGTGAAAGGTGGACCTTCTAAGTTTCCTGGGCTGTCAAAATGGCAGCGAAAGGCAACAGATGCCTCGGCGCTGTGGGGCATGCATATTTTCCTGCGGTCCACCCTGGCAAAGTACCTTGACCACTGCATGGCGACCAGAAGGTGCAGCCGAGGAACACGCCGTTGCTACAGAAGTGTGCAGATGCCCAAAAGGCAGCAGTCTTCCATGAGAACATAATTCACATTTTCTATCCATGCCTGAGAGACCTGCTACTTAGCAAGAACTTACCAAGTAACCCTCCTAAGCTAAGAGATTGTTTCTCCGACTGTTGCAAGAGTTGTGTCAGGAGAGACGTCTGCCACAACAGCTGCTGCCATTCAAGATCTTGACCCTGGGTCCTTGGAAACTTGGGTTTTCTTTCGCTCCCTTTTTCTTGCTCTTTGCCACTTTGGCCTCTTCGTCTGCGGATCCCATGACTGCCAGCATGGAGACTCACGGTCGTTTTGGGGCAAGCTTTCACCACCAAGCCATAAAAGGTTCTATGCGACCAACGGTCGTTTAGGGGCAAGCTTTCCATCTAGGAAAGGCTTTTTTTTAGCCAGACGAAAGTCTTGGGGCAGCCGTTCCGCTGACAATCAGCCACAAGCAATCGTTTTGGGGCAAGCTTTCACCACCAAGCCATCCCAAAAAGACTGTCTTCTGCTGACAACCAGCCACAAACGTTCGTGTTGTGGGCAGGCTTTCACTTGTCGCTGCATATCATTAACATGACACTACGCTGGCCCGTCCTTTGCGGAGGAATTTGCTCTCTGCCGTTCGACGTCTTATACGATATACACCACGTGTGCCGAAAGTTCCACGTGTGGCGAAAGTTTGTTATACTAGGAGGCCGCAGAACCCATCCGAATCAACAAGCGCGTTCCTTGTCACAGCACCGCCCATGCCTTCCACTCAACCCCCAACCACCCTGAGTTTTGTTGGTGCATGGTGGCTGCTACTCCTCCTCTGTCCTCTCGTACAGTGAACAGGAGGATTGAAACAACTCGAAGGTCAGATATGCGCATGAAAATGACAGACACAGGAAACCCTATGCAATTGGCCCGTCATGCATGGTTGATGGGTGTGGCTGCTGACTCCCAGAAATGTCCCTGAGCCTTCAAAGCCCGGACACCTGATGCGGCCAAGAGACAAAATCCTGAAGGGGAAGGTCACTCATCGACAAGTAAACTGATTTGGTCAGAGTCAAACTCGAGAGAGCAAGGGTTCATGAGGGATTGACTAGGAGTGAAACCATGTGAAACCAACACAGACAGGATCTGTCTGCTCATCCCCCAGATGATGAAGGGATCTTTGATCAAACCCTGATTTGCCGGGCCGAATTGAATTGTCGTAGCCGCTGGTTTCCGGCAGCAAGGCAAAACCACCTGCTGTTCGCCTGAGGCAGGAGAGAAAGGCGAATCTGTTGCTGTGTGAGTGATTGCTTCGAGCGGAAATGGCTTCGAATTCTCGCTGTTGCATAGACTTGTTGCTGTCTGCCAATCGTGATGGCGCACCTCGCGATTTCTGGGTCGAGACCGATTCTCTAGCCAACCTAGCCCTCCTGGCAACTCTGCGGCTCCGTGGGCCTGGGCTGAGAATGGTAGCCGTCTCAGTGTTAGAAAAGTGTCTCTCTCTCTCTCTCGCTCTCTGTCTCTTTGTCTCTCTCTATCTGCCCTGAGCCTGCTTGCATCCAGCCGGAGCAATCGGGAGCATGTAGGTGCATGTCCACATGCGGCCTGGCATAAATGCTCTGCAGGCTGACCGACGAGTCGTGGTTGTGAAGGCAAAGCAGCTGCTGCAAACTGTGTTTGGAACCTGGTTGTGCTAGGCTGCGACCGGCAGAAGCATGTGCTCGTGTTGGTAAGTTCGAATATCGCTTGGATGCTGATCCCCATTGCAAACAGAGAGTTGTTTATGCACTGTGCAGTCACACATCCCATGCTCTTGATGTACAGCTGTAGGATAAGAGTTTGGCCGTTAAACGCTGATACAACCAGCTCTACGTCCAGACGCTGTCTTGCGCAAACCAAGCTTGAAGAGCGCGTTTGCAAAGAGACAGCTGCAGCTAACCAGCTCGATTCCCGTGTCTCACAACGCAATAAGTGTCCCTGCCCCATTGCATGTTCTGACAGGATCATCATGCAATGCTGCATGCCAGTCTGCGGCAGGACCCGTTTGCCGCAAACTGTTTCTATGTAACACCAGACGCCATCGCTCTCTGCAGGGTACTTTGTTGACCGTGATTGGCGAGGTTGGTGAATCCTTGCACGTGCGGTGGCCCAGTTGCTACTGCTTTCGCGAGTTCGTGAAACATCCCTGAGCATTATCCCCCAGCCCGGACTTTTTGTGTGGAGGGTGAGGGCCGTTAAGCGCTTCTCCACACTCCAGTGTTCCAGTGTTATTCAGATCGTCCAGTCAGCTGAGCTCCCTAACTCGAACAAGGTGGCGCTTCCAGAGTGCGGAAACCCAGTATATCTTTCGCTGCACAGTTTCAGAATCTTGGTAATTCCTTTGCAACTCAGGTCGCATCTTACTGGGTGGATCAGTTCCGGCTGCTGTCAGGCCCCGGGATGCATTTGGACCTTGTGTTATTTGTTTCACCGTGAAAACATCGAGGGCAGGTCAACAAATCCTGTTAAGGTCTGGACCCTACATCGTCCCCCCAAGCCGTCCCGTACCCGAACTGTTGGCCGTGTGTCGAGGTGGGAGCGGGAGCAGAAGTGGCTGTGTTGGTTTGTGACCGAAAGTCGTGTTGCAATATGCACCGACCCCTCATCAATGAAAACGCCTTTGGAAATGCCAAGGCCTTTTCGTCTTCTGTGCTGTTGCTCACCATCGGAGAGAACCTCTGATGTCATGATAGCGTCATCCGTACTTTCATGATGTCACCTGGTTGTGGGGACTCTTTTCCATCCCTTGGCAGCTGCCGATAGCCAGGGTGAAGTACATGATAAATCGAGTCGTAGTTCATCGGCTCTTGTGATCACATATCCTCACTGTGGTTATGGAACATGTGGACTTCAATGTTGCTGCCAACTCGCGCACATGTTGAACATGAATTCTTCTAGCGGTCGTGAAAGGACAGCTCGAATGAGGCACGCAGTTCCAGAAGTAACATGTGTTGCGTACAGCTACGTTGCAAGCTACATCTAAATGATTATCGTCCGTCGCTGAAACGGGATCCGACGCGGTAGGATTATACTTGCTGAGTTTCCGCAAGGATCTACCTCCGCCTGGCAGCAGCGCTGGCTGGCAGGAGCGTCCTTGGAGTCGGGGGAGGTTTGTGTTCGTTCAGAACGACTGAGCATCACCCTTAAGACAACATCGGACCACGAGCAGTGAGGAGGTTACAAGTCAGCCTAAAAGGGTTTGTGTCCAAGGTTGTGTTTATGCCCGTATGGTTCTTCCATGTGGGATGCCAGGCGCCTCCGCAGCTGCTGCGAGCCAATCTTTTAGAGGCAAGGTGACTGCACTCCGATCGGGAATCTGGTGTCAGCTACGCGACTGCAGGCGAAGATGGCCGGGTGCTCTCATGCTTTGCCAGCACCCCAATGTGGCTCTGCTGCCAAGCTGGGCCAACTATCTGCGCAAAGTGCTCAGTGTCCAGGTTGCGATCAATCGTTGACGCATCTTATGCAGAGGATCAAGGAGCATCGCCCTGCACTTTGGATCTGAACGTGTCAGTCTATTGGCAGACGCACATGAAGACCTTGCATCGTCAAGGTCCAGTCTCATCATGAGCGAACTTCTTCTAGGACTCCAGGCGTGTCTGTGCTGCGGAACAATAAAGCTGTATCCATGTTCGGACTTCGCAGGTGCGGGATCCTGTGCAGATGGAGAACGCGCTGGCGCTGTGGTTGGAGCTGCTAAGCAGCGGCTCGGAATGGCTCATTCACGAGTTGCGCATGGCCAAGCACAAGGCGAAGCATTCCGTCGCAATTGGACTTGCGAACAGGTGAGGCCTGATATGCTTGTTGCGGTGCCATCAGGTGCAGGCGGTCTTCGGTAGCAACTTCTACGATGAAAGAGGTCACCTGCTTCTCAAGTCATGTATTGCTGCCGAGATACGACGTGGTTAAAGGACGAGTTACCAGCACCAGACGCAGCAACAACAGGACTAGCACCACCACCAACAACAACAGGCACCACGACGACGACAACAACAACGACAACGACGACGACGACAACAACAACAGCATCATCATTTACTACAACAGCAACAACACCAACAACAACACCAACAACAACACCAACAACAACACCAACAACACCACCACCAACAACAACAACACCAACAACAACACCAACAACAACACCAGCAACAACACCAACAACACCAACACCAACACCACCACCACCGCCACCACCACCAACAACAACAACCAACAACAACACCCCCAACAACAACAACAACAACAGCAGCAACAACAGCAACAACAACAGCAACAACAACAGCAGCAACAACATTTCATTCACACGCAGCGGGAGGATACTGTCTGAGGTGAAACTTGACGTCCACGCTTTGCGAGGGGTCGACCTGCTGCTCTGCTTGCTACTTGCGCGGTCACTTCATGACGAGCCGTGCCTTAACACAGCACTCGCACACGCTCCGCCCCTCAAGGCTGCAAGCAATGAAGTAGGAATCGGACGTGTCGTCAGTGACTCGAGCTGCAGACTCTGGCACTAATGAGCGAGTTAACTGGCTGATTTGCAATGTATCGCTGACTGATTGGCGACTTCCATTTTGCACACTGCTGTCTCGCAAGAATGTCTAGCCTCGCTGTGAAGGCTCGGTACGAACCACTAGCTCTATGTTATAGTAGAGGCGGTGAGGCAATGAAACACTCAGTAAAGGCAGGCCAGGCGCCGCTTCCAGCCCGTTGTTGACATTTGTAGATGGCGGAGCAACTCCTGCCAGACCTGTGCTGGTGACATGAAGCTCTCCTGTCCCTGGATGGGAGATCGTTGAGGTCACAGCCTTTGGCGGTGGTCCCAGGGGAGAAACTCCTCCCGGGACTCCACCTTTCGCTGGCACTCCTGGTGCCTTACCTGGTCCCGGTGTCCGATCTGTGCTAGATCCACTTCCTGACAGGTTAACAGGCATCGGAGGCGGAGGGCCCTTAGGCCCTGCTGCTTTGGGGGCTGCTGTGGGGGCTGCTGTGTCTTCAGAGTCAGACTCCCGAATGGAGTCACTAGCTGGCGGCGACCTGGATATATGGGGACGACGACGCACTGGTGGAGGGGTTCGAGAGGTCGCTCTGTTGCCACTCTTCTTCGGTGTTTCAGGCATGGCTTCTACACTCAAGACAGCTGGCGAGTTGAGCCTGTACGAGAAGGCAAGTGGAGCTTCCAGAAAACTTTTGGCTGACAACTCACTTGCAGATCCGGGCCCACGACTTCGCACGGAGCTTCTCATGCGACCTCGGGGTGTACTTGCTGTCTGGTGATGAAATTGAAGTGACCGTCAGCCTCATAACACAGATTTTTGCATGAGCAGCTGCATTATCATGTGGGGAGGGACTCCACCGTTAGGTGAGGGTCCTCACGATCAGAGCGGCCTGTTGTCGCCTCCGTACTTAGTACCTGATTTCAGGCTCTGGTAGTACTCTATGACAGAAGGGGGTACTTCAGAGGGGGTGAGAATGACGCCGTTCTTGCTACGGAAAAATTGCACCCCTACCTGCATGGCTCTGCGTGGATCGACCGCCACCAGCATCGACGAGCTATCTCTGATTCCAGAAACACCAGGTCTACCATAGTCCTGATCCGAGACGAAGTGAACATGCTGTCGTCCCTCTCTGCCACGTCCACCTTTGCCGCGACCCTTGGAAATCTTGTTCTGAGGCAAAAGGCCTCGTTGGCGTATGGAGTCATACAAGGACCAGAATGTGCCATGATACAGCATTCTGGGGAGCATCTCCTCCGTGAGTTCCTCCAACACTTCGTTGGAGTCCACATCAGAGCGAGAATGTCCTTGCAGAGCCCTGATGTACTTCTGGCCTTGGCAATCGCCCAGCTCGTACCTGCCTTTTGCGTTACTCCGAACGACCTCCAGGAGGTCGCCTGCCGTGGCGTGCTGGGCCTGCACTCTTGGCCATCTCAGGACGTCCTCTAATTTGGCCCAGCCAGCTGAAGTGACGCTGAGGTAGGGTTTATGTCCGTGCCGGAGCGAAGCTGCGAGAGCCTTCGAGACTTCGAACGAGAAGTTGCTCTCCGGCTTCGTAGAGGCAGTGCGATATTCCCCTAGATCGCCTGGTTGGCCTTCCCAGGCCACTATAGTGGAGCTGCGTGGCGTTGTTGAGCTGTGATCAATCTCTGGCGCCATGGTCGGGGGAGAAACTCCACCCTGTGAGCTGGATGCCTGCTCGCGAACCGGAAGGGGAGCAACTCCTCCTTCCTTGACTCCACTTGACGAGGCTTCGCCAGGCAGCTCGTATCCCAGCGCCGAAAAGGATTCCCGAGCTTGTCTCAGTGGTATCTCCAACAAGCCACTCCACTCTCGGAGGTACTCACCTAAGGTGAGTGTCTCCTTGGTTGATATTTGCAGTAGCAGCGCTCGGATTTTGACTGCATCATAGGAGTATATCAGTTGGTTTGTTTTCTTACCCTTTTTTTGCGATCCAGAGTGCGCAGCCTCCACCTCAAACATGGGCCGCACGAATATGTGCCGAGGTCCTATCCTCACCAGACAACTGTAGCCGGCAGCAAGATGCCTGTTTGACATCCTGTGAAGATACACGCCTGGTCGTGCCTCGAAGCTTCGCGTGCCGGAGAGGTCAGGTGTCGAAGGAAGTAGCCTGCCTGTGGCCAGTATCCCATGCAAACATTCCAGGTGTGTCCGTGGAATGCAACCTCGCTGTCCCCTGCAGGAAGAATGTTCGGTGAAGAATACTCGAAACGAAACCACCCATTCTCTTCAGCTGTGGGATATCCAAGCTTAGGATGCAAAGGCTCATTGGCAAGTCCCCGGCGGGAGGCCAGGAAGGTCTCCAGGAGAGCATTGGCTACCTCCGGGGAGGGTCGTTCCACCTGATTGAGACCATCTCGCAGCTGCTGAGTGACTGTCACCATAATTCGGTGATTGTTCAGCTCAGTGATGTTCCCATCACAGTCTGACATCAGACTGGGAAAGGGGGTATAACCAGCTGACTGAAGAACTTTGATCGCAGCTTCCGTGATGGGGTCCCCAGAGGGAGGATCTCCGCTCTTGGCCTTTGCTGCTGGGGGAGTATCTCCACCCTCGCCTTGCCCTGTACTTCTTTTCTTGGAAGGAGGAGGAGGGGGAGTGACTCCACCCTTTCCGCTTCCCAGCTCTTCCTGTCCACCAGTACCTTTAGAGGCTCCTTTATATGCAGGATAGCTTTCGCCGTGAGCACGAGCGGAGCGCCTCCACTGGCGCAGGAAATTGCGATACGTGACATGCGGAAGTTGTTCACGTATCCGTCGCTGACAGAATTCCTCGTACTCCGCTTGAAACGAGGGATCCTGTGTTGACTCAGGTCTGGACATGGTGCTGAGTCTTGAGAGAAAGCTGCGGTTGTTGGCTCAAGCTGGCTGAAGCTGGCTCAAGCTGGCTTCTAAGCAGGCAGCTAGGCCTAGGCCACTGAGCTCCAGGCCACCACGAGGAGACCTGCATCACGGATGGTGGATTGCTGTTGGCTCAGTGTGTCTCAGTGCAGGCAGAATTATTGCAGGCAGCGACTCAAAGCTTTTAAAAACCCCTAGGGAGAGACTCCGCCAGCTGTACACCCCTCGTTGGGGGAGAAGCTCCACCAAATAGGGGAGAAGCTCCACCTATGACTCTTTGGTTCAAAAACCCCTGGGGAGTAGCTCCACCAGCTCTACGCCAATCGAGGGAGAAACTCCTCTCTTTGTTACAGGAGCTCCTGCTTAGGGAGCATCTCCTCTTCTCACTTGGCTCAGGAAGTGGCGGCGTTGAGGTGATTGTAAGTTACCTCCCACGTCGCCGAGGCCAGGTTGAGTCTGCCGTCCTCAGCAAAAAACTGAGACCTCAACGTCTGCACATCAGCTTGATATGCCTCTTGGTACTCAGCAGGGAGATATTTGGCGATGTATCCCGTGATATGGGATTCGCGTTCCATTGTCTCCAAGTCGTACCGGTGGTAACCGAGGCTTGTTGGGGAAAGCAGGTCTCCAGCATGGATGCGAACCAAAGAAAGGTACTGCATCCCCTGTTCAACCAGGGCTCTTCGTCTTCTATGTCGGATTTGTCCCCATTCATCGATTCCCGATATGGAGTGGAGGTGTGTGAGCACCTTTCGGATCCAATTTTCCGGGAGTATCTCCACGGCAAGGTTCAGGATCTCATCCTTAGTGATGAGCCCAAGCCCCTTCACTCTCTCTAGCAGCTCTGTGAGCACGGCCCAGGGGAGTATCTCCACACCTTGGGACTTCTGGTGCAGAAAGTGCACCGCTGCGATCGTCGGGAGCAGCATCATGGCCAGTCGAGTTGGCGTCTGATCATACATGGTCGAGGAGGAGAACCACAGTCTGATTGATTAGCTTTTTGAGCCTGAGAGCTTCATCATGAAGGAACATGTGCGGCAATTCAAGCGGTGCCAACATGAGTGCAGTGCTCCGCGGGAGGGCCTCCTCGCCATTCGTCGAAGACGCTTCAGTCTCCTCACGGGCACGAGCATGCTAGGGGAAGGGGCTAAGTGGGAGCAACTCCTCTTCGTAAGATTTGCTTCGCTTCTACTGAGCTCTAGGTTCCAGTCCCGCCCACTCATGGGGCAGAGCTGAAAAGATCTTGTCCTCTGGAGAAGATCAGGAGAGCAAGTCGCGAATCTGGCGAACCAGCGGCGATGGCTGAGTTCCCATTCGCTGGAAATCCGCGTTTATGAGCGAAAATGCAGTGTTGCCAATTAAGGACTGCAAGGTTTCCTGCAGTTCAGATGTGGCCGCCCTGGTTGACAGTTGGATCTGGATTCGGACCGGACCTCCCGTCATGCCTTCGGTCAGTGGCCGCGAGGTTTTGAAGAGCTTGATGTGTTCCGGATCTGAGGATA